ACCCTAAACCCCTAAACCCAAAGTCTCTCTGAGAGGCGAAGACCAGAGGGATTTCTACAGAGCTCCGCAGGCTCCAGCCTTGGAGCCTTTCGAGCCTTGGCTTCTTTGAGGAACTTAGTTTAAGGCTCCCATGATCGGTTCTAGGGCTTAGGGTTTAGGGTTTAGGGGTTTAGGGGTTTAGGGGTTTAGGGTTTAGGGTTTAGGGGTTTAGGGGTTTAGGGTTTAGGTCTGTAGGGTTTAGGAGCTTAGTTGACATGCCCATAGTAGGAATTCAGAGTAAGTGATAGGGTTTCCTCAAATGAAAGTTCATGGCTCCAACCCAGGAGCGCGACACCATGCGGCCTTCGAGCTCTCGAAAGCTCGGGGGATGTGGCCACTGCTGCTCTTGATCGGGGCAGCTTGGAGTGTTTGGGGCTTGGGGTTTCGCGCTTAGGGTTTAGCTAAGGACTTCGGAACGGGGTTTCGAGACGGGCGTTTAGGGTTTGGGGGTAAGGGCTTAGGGACGAAGGTTCAGGGCACCTTGCTGCCTGGGACACTAAACCGTGTATTCGCCGGAAAATGTGGCATACCGGATCGTTAGCGCAAGGGATTCTTGGAATAAGACAATCCCCAAGTTAAGTCAAAAGCATCACTGCTCACACAAGTCGCAGTCGCCGAGGTCGTCTTCTCCCAGCGACGCCAACTGAAGAAGATGGTGGAACCGCCACGCAAGACTCGGGTCTTGTGGTCGGGCTGCTTGTGGGCCTTCCTTTCCACGATGACGGTCTTCGATACCAGCGGAAACGCCATTGGTTATCCTGTTTTCTTTGGCTTCGTTCTGACCTACATGCGCCGCTGGGATGCAGCAAAGCCTCGGGCAGAGGTCACGTGCACTCTGCTGCCCATGCGTTCAAAGTAGCACCGAGGTGATCGAAACGGTGTCATTGCCGGAGACTGGCGAGAATCGCTGGCCACCTTTTTTCTCGTCGGGGCGGCCGTGTCGCTCGTCAAAACTGCAAACTGACCCCCGATGTGCTCTGTGTGGAAAGGCCCAGGGCCTTAAACCCCAAGCTGGCCACAACTCCCAGAGCGACACTATACTCCATCATACCATACTATGCGATGCTACACCATACCGTGCTGGACTAGACTCTACTATACCCCACTCTTCCACACGATACTATTCTATCCTATACCCCGAGCCCAGGTTTGCAGGAGTTTGGATTGCCAGCATCCCTTCACATCTGCTGCCGGTTCGGAGATCTTGGAAGGTGGTCGCATCTAGACTGTTCTTCAAGCATGTTGTTCAAGTCTTGGTACAGTTTTATGTCTTTGTATAGCTTATTCGTAAGAAGATTGTAGTATCCTAGTAAGGTCCTAGTATAGCTTTTTGTGTAGTAAGAACCCAAAAACCCATGAAACTGCTCAGGTGTGGCTACAGCAGCTCCAGTTCCTTGGCTTCCAAGGCCTCGGAGCCCGAAGCTTCCGCAGGCGCTTGAAAAGACCAGCAAGCCCCTTACTTCAGCTTTCGGAGACCTCAAGCCCGAGTTAACCCTAAACCCTAAACCCTAAAGCCCTCTTCGTTCCCCTTTAAAAGGAGATCCGTGCAAGAATCCTTGAGAGCCCAGGGTCCTAAGCTCGAAGCCCCTAAACCCCTGAGCCCTGAAGCCCTCCCTAAGCCCTAAACCCGAAACCCGAAACCCTAAACCCTAAACCCTAAATCGAAGCGAGGTCCTTCAGTATCTGCCTGCTGCTCTGGCTGGTGACCCTCTTCTTCCGCGTTTATCGGCGCATGGGATGATCTGAAAGCTCCGAAGAAGGCGCAGCTCAAGCATGCCGAAGGAGCGCTCCGCCTGTTTCGGTGTCTGAATGAGTAGTGTTGTTTGTTCCTCTGGTCCCTATTTGTCTAGAATACTATGCTATGTTATGCTATGCTATCCTCCGATGTCAATGTGTAACAGACCAGAACAGACTAGACTAGACTGTACTGCAATCTGGAGGCAGGAAGCCTCCCTTCACGGAAAGAACCTGGAGATGAAGTAGGAGCAAGTGGCGAGAAGCCCGGAGACGACGTGGGTCCGTGAGCGTCCGAGGAGTACCTGTAAGCCTCGCCGTTCTCTGATGCAGAGCGCAGCGCAGAAATGGAGTTAGGGTTTAGGGTTTAGGGTTTATGGTGCGGAAATAATTAGTTCCTGCTGTCATCTATCTTTCAGGGCAGTTACCCTAAACCCGAAGCCGAGCATGGAGATCGCGCACTTCGAAGCCGGTCCATAGTGAATGGACCGGGAGGGTTATTGTGTTGCACTTCCCCGGGTTACGCGCCCTGCCGCTGACACTTTGTTTGATTTTCGTCCTCCCAAGGGTCTGAGCCTGACGCCTAAACCCTAGACCTAAACCCTAAACCCTAAACCCTAGACTCTAACTGGAAGGCGCTCTGAACCCTAAACTGGAAGCTGTAGAAGGCCTTTGGAGCTTACAGCTTACCCTTTCTTGCACACTAAATACCCAGTGCTCGTCGTGGTCATCATCACCCTTAGGAGGCAGAGCCGAATTTAGGACAACTTCACATGAATCATAGAGGGCTTTTTATACCATTCCTCAGTTCAAGCGTTCTGGGTTTCCACGGTTGTCATGCCCGAACACCAGGCCGGCCGGCGCTGGCCGCTCGATTTCATGCCTTTGTCCTCAGCATCTTGTGCCAGGGAGTGGGGCTTCAGGTTTAAGGGTTCAGGGTTTTACAGCTTAAGAGTTTCGAAAACCACAATAAGGTTCGGAGCTCATTGCCTGTTGTTGCGAGCTCTTTTGTCATCAGCAAGCAGTTCATTGCCCCAAAAACCCCTATAAAGCTATAGAGTCCATGTAAAACCCTGTAAAGCCCTATAGACCCTAAATCCTTACAGGACATTGGGCATGTGCCGGTTCTGGAGACTTCAGGGCGTCTCCTGCAATGCCCGCGGGTTCAGGAAAAAGACCTCTCCAGAGAGCCCAGTCATCACCGGACCTATACATACAAAAGACAACAAGTATTTGCAAGCTTGTAAAGGGAAGAAGCAGACAGAATGTGTGTGTGTATATATATATACACACATACACACACACACATGTATATATATATATACATACATACATACATATATGTTTTTGGATTTATATATATATATATATGTATATGTACAGATATATATATATATATGTTTATACAGAAATAAAAATGTATATATATATATATACATACGTACGTACATACATATATATATATATACATATGTCTCTCGCTCTCTCTCTCTCTCTCTGTCTCTTCTCCCTTATCTCCACCATTTTTGTATATGTCATAGTATATTATATTATATTGTGTTGTGTTGTATTGTATTATCTTTATATTATGTCATATTCTCTTCTATTCTATTCTATTCTATTCTATTCTATTCTACTCTAGTCGATTCTAGTCTAGTCTATTCTATACACACAACAAGACACATGTAGAGACATAAGTGCATTTTAATGCACATTATTGTTCACTGAATATTTCTGCGGTTAAACCGGGCTTGTTATCATGGCTTAAGGAATGTTACTTCCTTCTAGGTGTTTGGGTTGCATTGCTTGTAAAGAAAGGCGCACACCCTGGCCGGCGCTGTCCCTGCTGCAGGAGTTGGAGCGCAGTGGCCTCGAAGGGAGGGCGTTCAGGCTTTTGACCTTTGGAGGAATAGGAGTAGTAGTCGGTAGACTACTAGTTGCTAGTACTAGTGCAAGTCCTAGTCCTAGTCTCTGGTACTAGTACGACGACGACTACTAATACGACGACGGCCAGTACTACGACGGCGACGACGACGACTACTACTACTACTACTACTACTGCTACTACTGCTGCTGCTACTACTACTACTACTACTGCTGCTGCTACTACTACTACTTCTACTACTACAACTACTACTACTACTACTACTACTACTAACTACTACTACTACTACTACTACTACTACTACTACTACTACCTACTACTACTCCTACTACTACTAC